GGCCACGTTACTAGACGAGCGGGACTCTGACCGGGTCCCTTCACTCCAAAGTAGAGAGACGTTCCTGGTGCTGGAAAAGGAAGGGTTTTTGGAAGCCGAATAGAGCAAGCATCAAAAGGAGTTGCACCTCACGGCCTTAGCACGTAGAGTAACAAAGGGTCGAAGGAGATGACGCGGGCCTGGAAGACAGTCTTGGCTACGAGTGGATGTCGCCACGTTCTGGTCCTAGCGATCGTCGCGGGTTCACCCTTTAAAGTGGCGCCCACAGCCGAGACCAGACCCCTCCAGGCAGGGCTGAGCCCGTTCTCAGAGTATCGCTCCCCAGGCAGGCCAGGGCCAAGGGCCGCGCGTGGTCCTGGTCTGCAGAGCAGCTGTTCTGCTAGGGCGAAGCCACGGACGTCCGGCATGGCTCAAACATCCTTCCACCTTTCTCCTCCGCTGCAGCAATTTCAAGAGAGATGTGTTGCCCTCGGTAAAGCCGTAAGAGTCCATTTTAATTGTGGCATTAAATGAGATGCTTCCCTCTGTCTACGATCCAAGCTGTCTGTGGAGTAAACGAGACGAGGCTCGGCTGGGTTAGGACAACAGATGAAGTGCACCTCAAAGTGTCTCGTGCATCATGCACAGACCTCCCATCTTTGTCATCCCCACATCGAGGCACTGCTGACCTCGACATGCAGGACACGGCTTCATTGTTGCATTGAGCCGATTTTTGCAGGGGAGAGGGAAAGTCTTGTGAGAGTTGCTCGCCTGTAGGCAGAAACAAGGGGTCACTGGGAGTGTCTGAGTGTTAGAGTATTTTCTTTGTTTGGCTCAGGTGAAAGCCACAATCAAACCAAAAAGTTTGTATGTACACGCATGCACACAGTACATGGCTACAAATGTGTTTTACCAGTTAGTCTCCAAGGTGCCACCCTGCCCCATCCTGCCTAATTCTAAACAGGATTGTATAGCAAGGACTAAGTGGCGTTTCCTGCTCTTTCAAAGCCTCTCCAACTAAATTGCACTTTTGGGATAAAACACTGCAATCCTGAGCTCGGACCAGCCTCGTGGGGATACCCAGCGAACCAACGCAGGAGGGCACCAAGGGCAGCAAGAGTCCCCCCCGCAGGGCATGAAGGTAGTGTGCAGTTGTCTCCCTCATCTTGCAGCTCAGCGCAGCCCAGCCCAGCCCCGGTACAGCATCAGGGGCAAAACCCATGGGCAGCACACTCATGCCAGGCTGGAAAGAGCTCCCTTCCCTCCCCGCAGGTGGCCAGAAATCCAGCCAGTTTCCCAAGGCTCGGGGTGCTTCCCCATCATGTTTCTGGGCTGTCGGTTTGATGCTGGCACCTCGCTGCGGAGGTTTCTGGTGGCAACTGCGTTTGGCTGCAGCATCTACCCTACGCTCCCAAGTTTCCCACCCCCGGACAGTACGTGCTGACAGCTGAGGAGAAACATGCTCCTGAAACCAGTTACTCCCCATACACAGCACCTCGTTTCACAAAGCCCGCGCAGGCTTCACTCCCTCCCAGCCCTGCCCTCGCCCCCGCTCACCTGACCTGGAGGGCTGGGAGGGAAAGAGGTGTTTTTGGGGCTAGGGGAAAACACCACCTGCCTGGTCTTATCCCATGGGCCATGGTTTCCCTTGCCACAGCAAGATCTGGAAGCCGGGTCCTCCTCCTGTACTGTCATGAAAGAAAGCTAGTTGTTTCAGACAGGGGTGGTACTGACGGGCCTCAGGCTGTACCTGCCGGTCGCTCTTACCAGACTCTGCAATGCATGGTCTCGAACACATGCAAGCCCCAAATCTGCTCTGGATGCACGTGCGGATCCCGGGTCTGTTGACAAATAAACGGCACGGTCACAGGTGGGATCCTGCTCCAACAGGGCTGCACCATGTCCTAGCGCCAGGCCTTTCCAGCTCCCCAAAACCGGAGTGTTTAGAAAGAAAAGAAAAAAAAGGAGACCTGATAGTTTGTCCATTTGTTTATTGTCATTCAAATACTAAAAATCCCTCACAATACAATATACAGTTATTGATTTTTCAGGTTCGTCTTCCATTGAAATCGACTATCAGGTTTTAGTGGGAACATTTTTTTTTTTAAATTTTTGTTTTATTATCAAAGATTTAGAGTCACAATAAATACGAGTGACAAAAACATACCCTGCGCTGGCGTAACGTTACTCTGTTACACTTTCTTCTTTGTTAAATGATTATAAATTTTTTTTCTTAAAAAAAAAAAAAAAAGCACAATGCAAGTTATTTCACTAAATGCAATATACAGCGTAACTCTGCCTTAAGCAGACAAACACTACTGCGGTTCCTTGAGGTCTTTTTGCATTATATATATATATATTTTTTTATATCTTTAAAAAAAAAAAAAAAAAGTAATTTCCTGCATCCGCCCCCTCCTTTCGAAAGGAGAAGGTGACGTGAGCCAAATGGCAGACACGGTTCTTTGGGTAGGTGTGATATCTTTTATTAGACCAACTGAATTGTTGGAAAAATTGTTCTTTGCAAGTTTTTGGGCACAAACGCCCTTCTTCAGGCAGGGGGAGAGTCTACATTGGGATCCCTCTGCCTGAAGAAGGGTGTTTGTATCCAAAGAACAATTTTTGCAACGATTAAGTTGATCTGATAAAAGAGATCACATTTACCCAAAGACCCTCCCCTGCCTGTGTCCGTGGACAAACACGGCTAAAACCAACACCCCCAGACATGAGCCAAAGGGGGTTTCTGATGAGACCATGGTATGAGCCTTCTCTCCTCTACTGGACTCTAAGCTGTGTCCCCCCATCTCCCCATTGCCATTTTCTTAGCTGTACTTTGGTAAATCCTTTCTTTCCATAAGCAAAAACATGACCCAGTTTGATCATTCAGAGGTAAATGAATGGTTCCTAAAACAAGAAACAAAATATCCGTAGAAAAACAAAAGCAAAGCTATCCTGAATTACGATTACCCAAAAAAACCTCTCCTCCGTATCACAGCTGGAATGCCATTAACAGGAGTCCCTGCAACAAAAAAATGAGCAAGGCCAAACTTCATGCAAATTGGAAAGCTGCCCAAATGTTCTCCACCCTAAAAAATTAAAAGGTTCAACCAGGCCACTTTTCATGTCTGAGCAGAACAGTTACCTCTTCTACACCCCCCTCCCCTCCCAATAAAATCAAAACAGATAATAAATTAGGTTATAAAAAATAAAATTAAAAACCACACAGCTCCCAAATTTCAACACTGGTTCAAATAAAAGTCCGGGGTTTATTTCACAAGTTGCTAAAATCTACGCACAATAGTTAGTCGTTTTCATTATTACTGTATTATAAAATCTGGTAGTTGCAACGTCTCAAAGAAAGAGGTTATATGGCTTGCAAGAACCAACACTGCTCTAACCCTCTCCCCAGGAGAGGGGGGGAAACAAGCAGTCTCCGACCCACGTCAGACCAGCTCATGCGACGTTTGCAGAGAAGCAGTGCAGGGTTGGGGGAACGAGGAGCAGGGCATGGGGCACGTGGCACGAGGGACCACCTATGGGGTATCAATCTGCATGTCCATCCTGTCAAACAGCACGTTCAGTCTTTCACTCTGAGAGGGAGCTTCAAGCAAAAACTACAACTTTCCCAGGGCAGGGATGAGGATGCTACCTCTTTCAAAGGGCCCTAGGAGCGAAGCAGCGCACCGCACCGCGCGGGGCAACATCTCAGCAGAAACCAGCAGCCTGGAGGGGGCAGGAACACCAAACATGACAGGATGAAATACAAACCAAAGGTTTTGTTCTTCAAATATGCCTACAAGTCCCCTCCTCCAATGTCCCCGAGCAATTTTACCTTTATGTCACAATACCACAGTGTTAAAGTTAGGCTTAGGATTGATTTTTTTTCTTTTTTTGGCAGGGAAGGGAAGGGCAGGTAAGGAAGAGAAAGAAGGCATTTGGGAAGTTTTGCATCAAGTGTCTTCAACTATTATTTTAAACAATGTATGAAACCTGAACTAGCCTGGTAGAGCACTCAAACCAAGTGAACATGCGGCTGGACTGCATGCATACGGGCCGAGCAACTCGTCTGACCCCTACGCAAGCAGCCACGTCAATCTGTTTCTGATGCATTTTTTTTTTTTTTAAACTAGAAACTCTTCAGAAACAGTGTGTGCCTCAAATACAAATGTTAAGTTACCTGGCTCTTTATCCGTGCCACTGAAACGCCAGTTTAAATGCTGCTGGAACAAACTGGCACTTACCAAAAAGGTTTGGACATAGCTTTTAACAGGCAATTTTAATGCTTCTTCCCCCTCCTGCCACCCTTTCTTCTACAGCTCTGGCTGAAACCCAGGCTGCCCCAACACCGCAAAGGGCACACCTGTCAGCCTTTGGTGTTGTTCGTAACCTAGGTTCCCACAAAGCCATTTGAGGATATGGGAATGTTGTCTCGAGGGGTCAGATTTAAAGACTCAGAAACACGCTTTGGCCCGGGCCATTGAACAGAAGCAGACATCAGCGTGTGGGGAAGGCAGGTATTTGTCAGAGAACCAAAAAAAACCAACCCACTTGAACCGAAATATTCTTGTATTGTTTCACAGTGCAAGATTCAATGCACTCCGATTTCTCTCCTTACCTCCCTGTCCAAAAACCTTGGAATGAAAATAAAGCAAAATGAAACAAAAAACCCAACAAAACCCACTCTCCCCCCCCCCCCCCCCCCGCCCCACCCCCACCACCTCCCAACAAAAA